CCCCTAATTGTAGAAAGTAGCCCTACTCGCCACTGAATCACTTCCGCCCTTCCCACTTGAAACCTTCTTCGCTGACTTCTGAATGATTTCAGTCCGTTTCCGCCATACCTTGAATAGATCGCCTTCAAAAGAATTCTCCCACGACTAAAAGAAATCCGGTCATTGTCGGGGGACGCCGTTCCCGGGTGATTTACACACCTGCTCTGACGATGTGCTCATACGCGTGCGCGGGTGATTAGCATGCCGCTGGAATGCACTGAACTTCAAAAGAATTCTTTATGACGCCGCGTCGGTCGCTGAAAAGCATCTCAGACATTCCCATGCACTCTGATTTAGTCCGCTCTTCGCCCGCTCTTTCTCAGAACACCATGAAGCTGTGTCCTTGCCCTGGGTAGGGTAGGCCTATTAGAAAAGATTTATGGCTCGAAATCGAAGCGGAACATGCCAAATAGGCTGAATGGGAACCTAACCCCATTACAGAGGGCTTTGCTCTGCTTGTCTCCTACCCTGGAAGTAGCGTAGAGTGGGACAAAGCAAGTGTTAAGTTTGAGCATCAGAAAAAGAGCAAAACTTGGTCCCAAACTGGGCTAAAGCATTGGTCCAGTGCTGGCCGCTCTGCTGTGTCGACACGCTTTGTGAACATGGCAATGGAGCTTGTTTCTACTTCGAACAAAAAAGGCGCTCAGCTTTTCTTCTTCCTTTCTGGATGACTACCGGTTCTAGGCAGGGCTCGCACGTGTCCGATTATAGTCGCAATAGGCAACTCTGGGATTAGAGCTGTCCGTTCTTGCCCTTTCTACTTCGTGTTCATGCCATGTTTTGCTCTAATCTTCCTACGATGGTCATGGCGTGCCTGTTAGGAAGACTGTGCTAAATAGACTTTTTCAGGTAAATTTTTTGGGACTAGGTGAGAGCCTTCACCTTTTCAAGCATGGAAAAGCGACTGTTTTGCATCTTCACCTGGTCCAGCTACATTTGGCTAACAATCGTGGGTTGGTATCGCTTATAAGCTTCCGCTGCTAAGTTTCACTTAGCGGCTAAGGCTCCTGGAGGAACATTATGTGCTACGTTGTAGCAGCTAAGGTCCCTACAGGAGAATCAATAGAATAATTTTTTGATGCTACTAGAACACAAATGTTCCACTGCTTGGTTCTACAACAGCCTCAAATTGTTCCCTGGATGTTTTTACGTGCATTTTCTTCCTCCATTTTTTTTCTCAAATGGTTGCCCTGGTGGTGCAATCGGTAGCACCGCAGGCCGAAAAACTGGAATATGTGGGTTCGATCCCTCCTGAGGCGCAGGTTTGCCTCTGATTCTTGCGAAATCTCCTGCTAACCCTTGAATATTTTCGAAAGGAAAAGAAGTGCAAAAAAAACCTGCCGATTATTCTTCCCCGCTACGCGAGCTGGTGCAGGGTGAAAGTCGTGACGAGGAAATGCCAGCTGCAGTAAGACTCCCCCTCAACCGGGAGTTATGCTACTGTACCTCTCCCTCCATACCAATACGATCACCCCCCCCCTCTGGCATGAACCTATTCCTGCACGACACTCATCCAACTTCGTTCCCAGATTAGTGCGGATTGGCAGATTTGCGGCAGAAGTGGGACGGGGGGATCTATGTAACTACTGGAACATCAAATTTTACAACTCACCATTTCATTTTTCCATCCATCGCCTCTTGGCAATCCACATCAAGCCCCCTTATGATCCTTCTATCCAAAATGCCATACACAACCCTTCCCTCCCTCAAGGGCAAATATTCCTCTTCTTCACGAGAGTCCCCGTCAAGAAATCTTTGACCGTTATTCACCCTGCGCCAACAGGATGTCCCTTCTTCAAATGAAGCTGCCGGTTTGTATGGGAATTTTTAGGGATGGCAGTTGAGGGAACGGCATAATTTCGGAGCAACTAACCTTTTTCTTCTGAAAAAGTTGCACTCATTTGAATACAAGTGGGAAACGGTGAGTAATGGTTGACGAGGGTTTTTTACCCATTGGATACCCTGAACATTGGTCAATTTGAAATGGAAGCCCACGCCAAGGTACTACGAGTTCCCATCTTCGTTTGTTCCAAAGCAAGCAGCGTTTCCTGAGCAAATGCCATCGCAAAATTTGGAGAATTATTGGAAATTGACAAAAAAATAAAAATAAATAAATAAAGTTCCCT